ACATTCTGGGCAGTGTCCCCCATGTTTTGGGCAGTGCCCCCTGTGTCCCAGGCAGTGCCCCCCGTGTCCTGGGCAGTGCCCCCGAGTGCCGGGCCCAACCCCAGGGTTTTGGCCTTGCAGAGAAGCAGAAGCTGCGGGGCAGCGACTACCCCCTGATCGCCCGGGTGCTGCAGGGCCCCTGTGAGCAGGTCTCCAAGGTTTTCCTCATGGAGAAGGACCAGGTGGAGGAGGTCACCTACGACGTGAGTGAGCCGGCACGGGGGGGTTGTTGCTCCTGGGGGGGGCTTGGGAAAACTGGGGGATCACAGAGTCATGGAATGGTTTGGGTTGGAAGGGACCTTAAAACCCATCCACCCCCTCTGCCATGGGCAGGGACATCTTCCACTAGCCCAGGTTGCTCCAAGCCCCGTCCAACCTGGCCTTGGATACTCCCAGGGATCCAGAGGCAGCCACAGCTTCTCTGGGAATTCCAGCCCAGCCCCTCAACACCCTCACAGCCAACAATTCCTTCCCAATATCCCATCTAGCCCTGCCCTCTGGCACTGGGAAGCCATTCCCCCTTGTCCTGTCCCTCCATCCCTTGTCCCCAGTCCCTCTCCAGCTTTCTTGGAGCCCCTTCAGGCCCTGGAAGGGGCTCTCAGCTCTCCCTGGACCCTTCTCTTCTCCAGGTGAACCCCCTCAGCTCTCCCAGCCTGGCTCCAGAGCAGAGGGGCTCCAGCCCTTGGAGCAGCTCCATGGCCTCCTCTGGACTTGCTCCACCATTGACATCACTGGATTTTTTTTCTTAGGAAGGGCTGTGTTTTGGGGTTGAGGAGATTGCAGGCAGGCTGGGTCTGCTGCCTTCTCATAGAATCATGGAACCATGGAATGGTTTGGGTTGGAGAGACCTTAAAGCTCATCCCATTCCACCCCCTGCCATGGGCAGGACACCTTCCACTAGCCCAGGTTGCTCCGACCTGGCCTTGGACACTTCCAGGGATCCAGGGGCAGCCACATCTTCTCTGGGAATTCCATCCCAGCTTGTGAACACCCTCCCAGAGAAGAATTTCTTCCCAATGAACAGATGTCTCCATGTGCTGGGACTGCAGGAATTGCTTTGCTCCTGCATCTTGCCGTGAAAACTCCCCATTTTATGGGAAAAGCCTCGTTTTGTGCTCAAAGAGCAGCTTCCAACTCCAACCCAGAGCCAACACCCCCGGCCCTATTGTGTCATCCCAAATCTGCTCACGGGAGAGCGATTTCAGGCAGCCTGTGGCGGAATTGATGTTTTTCCAGCCGGGAAAGCTCCACTGTGCCATCTGCCGGCTTCCCAGGGCTGCTCTGCTCGGAAATCCGAGCTCAGACGAGGCACTTTTGGGGTGTATTTGGGCTCAATCAGCTCTCTGCGATGCTGGGGATGCTCAGGGCTCTGACTGATCGAGCCACGACTTCCAGCCAGTGGGTAAATTAAAATAAATAAATAAAAATAAATAAATTAATTAATAAATGGAGGGGGGGGAGAGATTGTCCCAATAATTATCCAGCAGTTACTCATTTGCACAAGTTAATGTTCACACTGAGCAGAGGAAACATCCCATTTTTTTAGGATTCTTGCAAAAATTGGGAGATCCTTGACTAAAATCCAGGGAGAGGACGCTGCCTTCAGCCTCGCAGGGTCGGTTCATCACCCTCTTCATCACCTTTCTTGCCGTTTCTCTCCCATCCAGGTCGCTCAGTACATCAAGTTTGAGATGCCCATCCTCAGGAGCTTCATCCAGAAGCTGGAGGAGGAGGAGGATCGTGAAGTGAAGAAGCTGATGCAAAAGTACGTCGGGCTGGCGGCACCGAGGGGGGATGTGAGAGGGAAGGGCATTGTTGGGGGGCTGTTTGGTCCCAGAAATTCCTTTGTGCAGCCCTGCACCCCTGATGTGAGCGAGAGCCATTGGGGTTTGCATCATTCCAGGGTTTTCTTGGCCGGCTCGGTGCTGAAAATTCCTGTTTCCCTTGTGCTGTGCCTCTCCAGATACACCATCCTCCGGGTGATGATCAAGCAGAGGCTGGAGGAGATCTCGGAAGGTCCGACTGCGATGTGAGACCCTTCACCAGAGCCATGTGCCTGTAGGATGTACTGTACCAAATCCCAAAGCCCCAGCATTCCCAGAACATTCCCAGCGTCCATCTGGATCGCTCCAGCTCTGAGCCAGCCCATCCTCCCGTGCCTTCACCTGCGCAGTGTCCTCGGGAGGTTCCTCCTCGGCACGTGGGGCTCTTCCCAACAAGGCTCTGGCTGGTGGCAGCTTCAGCCAAAAACCTCAAATCCCTGGAAAACACAGGGAAAAACAGGAGGAAAAAAAAAAAAGAGAGAGAGAGAGGAAATCCATGAGCAGCACAATGAGGGCTACAGGTGTTCCAGAGCAGGAATTTGGGGCTGAGTCTGGGGACACCCACACAGAGGCCCCGCTGCTCGGTGGCCGGAGAGCACCAACAGTTAAATAATTCCTCTTTTTTTTCTTTCTTTTTTTTTTTCCTTAAGAAAAGCACATTTCTATTGCAATAATTCGCAGGTGATGGGAAGTTTTTGTAAATCCAAAGTGTTGCCTGAGATTTTGGGGGGTTTAACCCTGACCTGGTGGATTTACAGCACAGGAGTAAATCGCATTTTTCCGCCCCTTCCCTAAACCTGCATCCGGTGGCGTCACCCCCTCCCTCCCCCTTTCTAATTTGCACTAATATTAGGGATTTTTAAGGAAATCATGATGTCAAACCTCTCTGGTAGCTGTAAATGCCAAATAGCACTCGCAGGGATAGTTTGGGGCATCTCAAGGGATGCTGGATGGAAAGGGAGGGAGACAGGAGGAGAAGGAGGAGGCAGAAATAAAGAGGATTTTGTTTTCCAAATCCATCTTCCAGCAGTGCCAGCACATTATCCTGGTGAAACCAGACTGGCACTGTTACCACCATCACCTGGAAAAACCTCTTTCCTCCCAGGCTAAACCAGCAATATCAATTTTATACCTCGATGTGAACTAAAACTCTGACTTTCTCCCTCCCTATGAGTTTTTGCAATGTATCTTTGTAATTTTTTTTTTAAGTGTTAATGGTACCTTTTCCACCTCTAACACGTGTTCAGGAAAGTGTTGTACAGCGAGAGGAGCCTTTTATGTGTTTGAAGGATGATTGTGGCATTGCTGCGTGGATTAACAAGAAAATAAAATATGTAGCAACTTAATACAGAATAAAACCCCCGAGTTGGAGCCTGGTTTGTCAAAAATAAAGCGATTTGTGGATAGAAATACCTTGGGAATGGGTTCCATGGGGGCTGGGGGTGATGAGGGAGAAGAGCAAAACCTGCCTGAGTCCCAGTGGAGAAGCTTCCCAAGGAGAAATGGTCCTGCCCTGCAGATTTGGAGACTCACAACCACATTGCTGGAGGATTTGGGGGTAATACTGGACTGTTTTAGGGCCTTTCCAGCCTTCAGTGACTATTTATCCCTATTTATCCCTATGCACCGTGGTCGGCGAGCTCCATCCTCTGGATATTTCTCCTCCACAAGGTAAAACTCCCGATGTATTTCATTTTTTTGTCCTCCCGCACCCCCCCCGGGGTCATCCCAGCCACGCTTTGCTGCCTCCCCGAAGCCGCTGGCCCGGCGTTTTCCAGCCCATTGAAGCCCAATTATCACTCCCCAGTGACGTTGGCTCCGTTTATCCGCCGGGAAAAGTCCGGTGGGAGCCGAGCCCGGCGGGCACAGACGGGAAGAGCCATCACCGGCACAGCACCGGGGGCGCGGGTAAGGGCGGCACCCTCGGCACGGAGCCTGGGGAGAAAAAGGGAAGGAACTGGGCAGAGAGCGAGGGGAAAAGTGGAGGGAGGGGTTCAGCCACACCTGAGCTGGAGGTTGGGATGGGGAGCCTGTGGAGGCTCCAGCGCTGGGATTTTCCCTGCTTGGTGACCCCTAAGTTTGGATATATATATTATATATATATATATATATATATATATATATATATATTATTCGGGCAAATAAAGAGAGGGGGAAACTAGGAAGGGAAAAATCCATGTATGTAATTTTCGAGGGTTTGCTGCCCGGTTCTGTGGTGTTTCCAGGCAGTGATGCAGCTGCAAACAGCTGGAAAGGGGACACTTCTCCGGGCTTTCCTTAAAATAACCCTTTGGCTGGAGGAGCAGGGCAGCGAAACGAGGCAAATTCAGTTAATCAAGCCGGATTTTACCCTTCGGAGCGCTGGGTTTGGGGGGGGGGTCAGGCCTGGCACCTTCCAGCGGGGGAGGGAATCGCTGACACAGGGAAGCCGCGGCCGGGGCGTCCGGCCAGGGGGGCTCTGCCTTTTCAAAAGGCTTTTGTCAACACGGCTCCGGCTGTTTTTGGGCCGGTTTTGGGGCCGCGATGGCTCAGCAGCTTCCCCACAATGGGGCTGTTTGCTCAGCCGGCCTGCGGGGTGGGGGTGGGCGGGGGGATCGCGCCGTGGGTGGGAGAACAAAGGTGGGAATTTGGTGGGAAAGTCGGGAGTGTTTGTTTGCACCACGGCGCCCACCTCCCTGTTTATTAAATATATGGACTACGGTAAATATGTACAATAATACATCAAATCATGGAATGATTTGGGTTGGGAGGGCCCTTAAAGACCATTTAGTCCAACCCCCTGCCATGGGCAGGGACACCTTCCACTAGAAGTTGTGTTTTAACTATGTATAGTGTACTTAAATCAATACAAAGTATATATAAATATATATATCGGTTTATATATATATATAAATACATAAAATATAAATATAAAATATATATTATATACTATATATAATATAATATATAATATATAACACATAATTTAGTATTTGGTATATATTGGTTTGTATATTATGTATTATAGGTTATATTTATACTACATATTTTATATAGTAATATACTATGTGTATTTATATTTATACATAAAACACGAAGTTATATACATATATATGAATACATGAATATATAAATATATAAATATATAAATATATAAATATATAAATATATAAATATATAAATATATAAATATTACACACACGTATATATATATATATGAATATATAAAATCCGAAATTCTCCCAAACCCACGTTTCCATACAAAATGAAACCTAGTGTTTCAGCCTTATGCTTTTCTGCTCTTGGCTGCAGGTTTCTTTCCTCCATTCTTAACATTATTCCTGTATTTTGCTTCCAGTTGGGCCAAAAAGTCATCTATTTCGCTTTCTCGAGCTCCACTTCAGCTTTGAATCAGAGCTTGCAATATATAGTGCAATTTTATAATATGTAATATGTAATAATATTATAATATATAGTATATATAATACATAAATAGATAACATAGATAAATATATAGATAAATTATATATAGATAAGATATATATAAATTACATATTTATATATAAATAAAATATATAATATATAAAATATATAGGGATATACAATATATAAAAACTTATTCATCATCAACAATATTATAGGTAAGTTGGCCCAAGGCTGAGGAAAACCCCGCGACCCCCTCGGAGCCGGGATCCCCGCGAAACTCCCGGAGCGGGATCCCTGCGAGCCCCTGGTGGTGGGAGCCCTGCAAACTCCTCAGAGCGGGATCCCTGTGAACCCCTCGGAGCGGGATCCCTGTGAACCCCTCGGAGCGGGATTCCCTCGAACCCCTCGGAGCGGGATCCCCTCGAACCCCTCGGAGCGGGATTCCTGCGACCCCTTAGGGAGCCGAGATCCCCGTGAACCCTCGGAGCGGGATCGCTGTGAACCGGGTACGGCTCGGAGCCAGGATCCCTGCGAACCACTCGGGTCGGGATCCCTGCAACCCCTCTGGGAGCCGGGATCCCTGCGACTCCCTCGGAGCGGGACCCCCCGGGCCCGGGCGCTGCTCCGGGCGATCTCCCCGCACTCACCGTCCCTCCTTGTGCCCCTCTCGCAGGTGGGTCAGGATGAGGCCCCTGGACGGCTGGTGCTGGGTGGTGATGCTGCTCCTCGCCCTCTTCAGCGACGTCGCCGGCGGTCGCCGCGGGGGCGGCGGGAGAGCCGGGGGTCGCGGCGGCGGCGGGGCCGGGGGGCTCCGCGGGGGCTTCCGCGCCGTGTCCCGCGGCGGGGGCACCCCCGGGCGCGGCTCCAAGGTGGCCGGAGCCATCGCGGCCGGGGCCGCCGCGGGCTACGGGATGGGGCTGCTGGGGCGGCCGCGCCCGTCCCGCCTCGGTCACGGCATCCCCGCGGGCCGGCAGCCCCCGCCCGCGGGCGGGTTCCACGCAGCCAGCTGGCCGGACGTGGGGGGCAAGCGGGGACCCCCCAGTCGAGCCCCCCGGGACCGCGGCGGCATCGGCCTCGCCCTGCTCTTGGCGTTCGCCGCCTGCTTCGTGAGCCACGGGCTGCAGCGCTGAGCGCGGCGAGGACACCTCGGGACCCCCGGCCGGCCCGGCCCGCCGGGATTTCTTAGTGGATGACTTTCCTGGGAGATTAGATGTGGCTTGGGGGAGGTGGAAGAGATGCTCCGTGGCTGCCTCAGTGTCCCTTCTCCCCGGAGCTGGGCAGCCCTCCCAGTGCTCACGAGGACACCCGGGAGCTGGATGGATCCTGGAAACCCCCGTCTGTGCAGGCACCTACACGAGCAAGTCCAGCCCTGCAAGGACCTGGGGATATCTGCACCTGGAGTGACGCTGGAGCGGCCCCGCCAGCGCTCGGCTCTGGTTTCCCACGGCACGGCTTTCCCAAAGAAACCGCTCCTTTCCCCCCAAAAGAGCGCTGGGACTTGTGGGGAGGGGGGATGTGGGGTTTGGAAATGGACCCCTCTGCCTTGCAATAAAGTTTGGCCTTGAGACATCCTCTGGTTTTAACCAAATCCTTTGTCTTTAGCACCCGGAACAACTCCAGGAAGAGCCGCATCTCCAGGGAATGCTGCGGGGGGTGAAGGTGGTGCCTGGGGACAAACCCCTCTCAGTCCCGTCTCTCGGGCTTTCACATGATCAATCCCAATCTTTGATATCCCGTTCTTTAGCATCTTCTCCCCAAAACACACCCAGATCTGGGACTGACCCTCTCTCAGGTGTTTGGCAGAGAGGATGCAAATCCTCCCTGAAAGAGCTTAAAAGGAGCAGGGAGAGATGTTTTGCCCTCCAGCGGCTGCAATTTCTTCTCTGATCCCTGTCCCGGGTGCTTAAACCTTCCCTAAATCCTGGTTTAGCTGAGCAGCTCAACCACTGCTGCGAGAAAAGAAAATAAGGAGGTACTAAGTGAAAAATTTGGAATCCCAAAGAAGCTTGTGGGGAGGTGTAATCACCATCCTCCAGCAGGTAAGTCCGCACTGAAAGATTTTTGAGCCTGGATGTTTGTGAGAGTGTCACCTCTCCTTGGAATTGGTGTGTTTTGGGGGTATAAACATCCTTATCTTCTCCTCAGGGGGGCAGGTCAGTCAGCTCTCACCTCTGTCAAGGAGTGGAAAGAGCCCTGGCTGATGGACGCTGATTTTTGGGGCTCCTTTACAACATTTTCTTAAATTTTACAGAAGTCATTTGGCTCCTGAGGGATTCAACAACATTCTGGAGCAGGGATGCACACAAGGCCCATGACCTTGTCAAATCACCACAACCCCTGGCTTAGGAGCAGCTTTTAGGCTGGACAAACCCATCTATTCCTATAATGCACTGAGGGGTTATTTTTTTTAATGTTCTTGCATAAAATACACAACAACCCCAGCATAACCTCCAGCTACAGCTCAGATTTGCATTTTTCCAGCATCAATTTTGCATCCAGACCCAGGTTATGCTTCAATGTCCACATCCCATCATGAGCATCCTCTGCTCACAGCCCTGAGCTCAGAAATGCTGCAGGGATGATCCTGAACTTCCTAAATTATGACATTCCCAAATTTTTCTTGCTTTTTCTCTCCTTTTTCTCAGCGTGCAATACCTGGGGATGGATCATTTTTACATGAGAAGGACTTTTTACAAGGACATGGAGTGACAGGACAAGGGGGAATGGTTTCCCACTGCCAGAGGGCAGGGCTAGATGGGATATTGGGAAGGAATTCTTCCCTGTGAGGGTGGGCAGAGACTGGGATGGCATTCCCAGAGAAGCTGTGGTTGCCCCTGGATCCCTGGAAGTGTCCAAGGCCAAGTTGGACGGGGCTTGGAGCAACCTGGGCTAGTGGAAGGTGTCCCTGCCCATGGCAGGGGGTTGGAATGGATGAGCTTTAAGGTCCCTCCCA